AAAAAAAAAAAAAAAAAAAAGAAGAAGAAGAAGAAGAAAGAAATAAAAAAAGAAAGGAGAAACGTATATTCCTGTTTTCTTCCAGCAGGCAGATTATTCTGGTTCCTATGTCATGGTTTTCAGCATTATTCTGGGCCCTGCTTGCACAAGGAGACCCGGATAAGAACCAGAAGTTGCCGGGCAGTGATGGCACAGGCCTTTAATCCCAGCACTCGGGAGGCAGAGCCAGGTGGATCTCTGTGAGTTCTAGGCCAGCCTGGGCTACAGAGCAAGATCCAGGACAGGCACCAAAACTACACAGAGAAACCCTGTCTCGGGGGAAAAAAAAAGAACCAGAAGTCGGGACGGACAAAGAGACTTCAGGATAGCAGGGGAGCATGCCGCCCCACTCCAGTTCTGTCCATCCTGGTGGTGACTGAAACGTAGGTCTCTTCCTCCCTCTCTCCCATTTCAGGTCGGGACTGAGGTCATTTCTTTTTAACCACATGGTCATCATTTCATTCACCGTGTTCTACTCAGTGACAACTAAGAATTCTGCCCCTTCTACCTACCAGAGGGTAGGCCGGGATGAGAAGGCGCGAACCTCCAGAAAAAGTTCACAGTCACAGGCATAAACACAAAGGACCCCCATATACACTTCTCTCTGGGAGGACGAGGGCAAGCCTCTGACCTCTGACCTCAGTCTTTTGGCAACTGTGGATCAGCAAAGGCAGTGGAGGAAGGAAGGCCACGCCCTCTCATGTGGGGGATCTAGACACACGAAGGATGCCTGGGAACTTGGCAGAAGAGCCCCAGGGTGAGGGAGGAGGATCAGGGTTTCTTAGGGTCTTCGGGGAGCCATGTCTGCTTTAGGCAGAATTCTCTGTTTTACATATATGATGTTGTTTGGTTGGTTTTTGTTTGTTTATTGTATAACTTTGTTTGAACATGGATTTTTATAAGCCATGTGAAAAAAAAAAAATGAACATTTGAGCTTTAACCCAACGCTTCCATGGACAAACCAGAGAAACCCAAACATGGAATAAATTTACCCAAACCGCCCTGTAAGTCAGGGCCCAACTGAGGCCTGGGGAGGAGGCAAGAGGTGAAGTGAACTCTGAGCCCTACCTGCCAAGGTCTCAGGAGGCAGAGAGAGTCCTCAGCTTCCAGCTCCCCCCGCCCCCCTCACTGGGAAGGGAGACAGGATGCAAACACACCCTGGGAGAGCCAGCAACCCATGCTGACAGCACAATAAAGACCCTGTAACAGTTTGGCACTCAGGAAGATTTCCCCATCGACAGCATCCCTGGACCTGCTCACTACACACCTGCCTGGGAGGAAGCTGAAGCTCTGGGCCCCCAACCACAGACAAGTCAAGGCTTAGCAAGGCTCAAGTGGAGCC